GTGCCTCCTTTTACTTAGCAGCTAATTGTCAACTGCCATTCACGGGATACTACGGAGGTGGGTTAAAAAAAAAATCCCTCCCACAAGCCCTTACCAGCATTGCTCCATATATCAAAGCTTCTGGCAGGAACACAGGATTTCACTTAGCATTGATGAAGCCAGCCCACCCTCCCTGGAAATGCTTTCACCGCTGCAGGTGGTTCAGTCAAGCCTTCAGAAAGAATGGTCTTAGACATGGGTTGTTGGATAAACTGAGATGATTCTCCTCCTCCCATTGAGGTAATTTAGCAAATAGAGCAACAACCCTACCAGACAGGCCCAGGAGACTTGAAATGGACTCTTGGCATTACTGGGGTGGGAGATGGGGGTTGGGGCTAACAGATGGGGGTGGGGGTGCCGATAGGCCAGAGGAGGGCGGACAGCCAGGAAAGGTCCTGGGCAGCATGATGTTGCCAACCGAGTGTTCATCCCTCCATTCACTCACAGGCCAGAAATAGAGGACTCACCTTAGATACCACGTTCTCATTCAGAGCGAATTCACTCCCATGCCCTGACAACATTACCTCTGAAATGTTTCACAAACCTATTTACTTCTCTCCGTCTCCACCACCCCTACCCTCTTCCAAGCCACCTTGAATGAAGACCAACATCTTTAACGAGGCTGCCTCCACTGTTATCACCTTCCTCTCAATCCAGAGCCTGCTTTTTCTGTCACAGGACTTTTGTACATGCCATTTTTCTCACTGAGACACTTCCTCTTTCCCTTTCTCTGCCTACTTAGCGTCTATTGTCCCTTCAGATTTAAGCTAGTTTGGGGCTTCCCTGAATTTCTTGACAAACAATTTTTCCCCCACATGTTATCATATGTTCTTCCTTTGTGGTACTCCAGAGTTATAATTTTATGGTTTTCTTCAGATTTTTAAAAATTAATTTCTGTGTTTTCTACTATACTGTCAGCTCCTTGGGAGAATGGACTTTCCTTTTCTTTTCCTCTCTCTCCTCTTCTCTCTCTCTCTATCCCTCTCTCTCTCTGCTGCACTCCCGGTGCTAGTGCAGGGCTTAGCATAGGACACGTGATCAGGAAACACTTATTGAGTAAAAGAATAAATTTGTATCTGTCTGGTGGTAGGATATGGGGGGAGGGAAATGAAGGAATTAACAACAATAAGTAAAAATCATTTTTCTTAATGTCCAGTTTAGCTAGAGAGAATGAACCAGAACACATGGAATAACAATGAATCACAGCAACAGCATACTCTCACAGGCTGAACTCTGCTATAGATTGTGAAATCATGCTCTGAAGAACACAGAACTTAAAAATGGGAGGAAGTAAAGGAACCTAGATATTTAACAGTTCAATATTTATATACTGTATGCCCGGTGTTGGCAAACACACAAAGGCGCTTAACACATGGGACCTACCCCAGGGTCTAATAATCTAGTAGGGCTGAGCAGAGCCATGCACAATTTTAGTGCAGTGCTTATGCACCCAGCAACGGCTGGAAAAAAACCTCAGATGGCCAGGCTCCAGAGGAAGAAGACAGAGCAGGTCCCAGCTGAGTAACAATTTGCCACGTGAACTGCCTCCTCCCTGGGGACGGGACAGAGACCAGGTTTCAATGTGGGAATCCAGGGAAGGCAGAGCCTTCTTACTAAAGAAGGAGGTGTTTTGGAGAAAATGGGCAGCTGTGAGCCTGGGAACAGAAGTGGAGATGAGATCTCCTCTCTTCCTTTTCTCCTACTTAAATCAGGAATAGCTGGAATTGCATCCGGCACTTGCTCTCTTAGGTGTGATGGATAGTAAGAAATATGTATTTGGTCTTTGACATCTTTCTGGCACAGGGCTCCTAAAACTCTTGGAATTTCCTGTATGAGAGTTATAAAAGTGTCTTTTATCATTTGGAAAGTACCTAAGGACAGGGGGCTTCTGGCCATCAGAACAAACCATGTGATTAGAGGTTTGGACCTTTCAGTCCCACCCTCCGAACTCAGAACTCAGGGAGAAGAGAAGGCCTGGAGCTTCACTCAATTGCCAATGGCCAATGATTTAATCAATTATACCTGTGTTATGAGATCTCCATAAAGACCCCAGAGGACGGGGTCCAGAGAGCTTCTGTGGCAGTGAACACGTGGAGGCGCAAGCAGAGCAGAGCTCCTGGAAAGGCAGAAGAGGCTCCACATCCTTTTCTCCACATTTTGCCCTATGCCTCTCTTACATCTGGCCATTTCTGAGTTACATCCTTTTATAGTAACTGTCATCTAGTAAGTAAACTGGTTTCCTCAATTCTATGAGCCACTGTAGCAAATTAATGAAATCCAAGAGAAGGGTCATTGAAACCTCCAATCTGTTGCCAGTCTGTCAGAAGCACAGGTGATAATCTGTGCTTGCATCTGAAGCATGTATGTGATTGGGGTCGGTCCTGTTGGACTGAGCCCTTAACCTGTGGACCTGTTGCTCTCTCTGAATAAACAGTGTCAGAACTGAGTTAAACATAGGACACAGAGCTGGTGTCTAAGACGTGTAGGAATCATCTACGCAACTACATTGGAACTGGTTCCGGAATCAGATAAGGTGAGAGGAATGCTCCTGGCCGGTGAAGAGGCAGGAGGAGCCCCAGGGAAGAAGTTGGGTGTGCTTTGGAGACCATGTGGGCCCTTTCTCCCATCAACAGAGAAAGGGAGCCAGAAAGGAGGCTGGGGCAGGAAGAGGCCTTAGCACTGCACAACTATCACTAGAGTGACTTTTAAAACTTAAAGTTGGGATTCATTACATGGGGCATATAGATGGACTACAGGAGTCTGAAATTATCCTGTAGTTGAACTCAAAATTGTTTTGTCTGAACATTTTTTTAGGGAGAGTATCCAAAGCTTTTATTGAATTCCTTAAGGGGTCTATGAACCCAAAGGACTTCACTAAAGCTCACCATCAATGTGCATGGAGGGAGATAATTCTAGAGGGAGCAAAAACCCATTTACTGAATAATCTTGCAGATAAGCTGGTAGTCACTTAATGAAGTGGAGAGCCTGGGGGAGTAGAACACAGCGCTGCTATGGGAAGAGGAGACCATTCCTTTGCCCATTCATTTAATAAATATTCATTGAGCATCTATTCTGTCAGGCACTGATTAGATTCTGAGATACAGTACTGCCCAAAATAGAGGAAAAAATTCCTGCAAAGTAAATTGAAGCTTTCATTCTAGTGAGGGGAGAGCAACTGTGAACAAAACAAATGGGTAAAAATGTTAGAAGGTAAATGCCAAGGAGTAAAGTGAGGCAGGAAAGGGGGACAGGGAGGGCTGGGAGTAGGGTGGGGAAGGGGTTTAATGTTAACCCCTTGATCAAGGGTAGGCTCATTGAGGTGATGTCTGGACAAAGACCTGAAGAAAGCAATCAACCAAACCATACAGCTACCTGGGGAAAGAATTTCAGATAGAGGAAACAGCAACGCAAGGACCCTGAGCCAGAAAACATTTCTCTTCTTTAGAGAAAAGCAAGGAAGCTGGTGAATTTAATGGAATGAGTATGGGAGAAGGGAGAAGGTTCTGGAAAACAAGGTCAAAGATAAGGGAGGGGGCATCGTGCACTATGAGTCATTAAAAGGCTTTTGATTTTTCCTCGAGATAGAAAAGAAGCTATTGGACAGTACTAAGTGGAGAAAGACCTTGATATGACAGACAGGTTTAACTGGTTCACTCTGGCTGCTCTGCTGAAAATAGATTGTAATTCAGACAAGACAGTATGGCATCTCAACCAGGAGGTAGGAGGGAAGGTCGTGAGCAATGGGCAGGTTCTCAGTGGAAAAAGCCATAGATAGGTTCACAAAGCATTGCAATAAGGCAGCAGCAACATTCTCAGAGACTTTCCAATGGTTCAGGGTACATATCCTGCTCATCTAGCAGACCCTTTACAAGTGGCATCCTGCTGTGGGGAAAAGAGCCACCTATAGAGACAGAAGCCCGGGCCCCCTCCTCTACAGCTGTGTCCCTTGGAAAAATCATTTACTTCTGAAGGACTGGAGTTTCCTGACTTACAAACAGGAAGAATATACGTCTGACTTGCTCCAGGACCTCAGACTGGACTCTGCTGCTTGCAAATGTCTTCTCATCCTGAGATCTATTATTTTGGGTTCAATGGGAGGCTTAAAGAACATCTGAAATACCACATCAGAGCCAAACCTTGTTCCTTGAATAAATAAATAACGCTGTACTCTTCTTTCTCCTCCCTTGGACTTTCCCCTGCCCACAGGACTTATGCTTGACTTGCTTCTCAGGGCGGTGGCCCTAGGTTGAGGGGAAGGAGAAACCCCTGTGTGTATTATGACAGTGGAGCGTTCACCATGGCAAGGCTGAGCTGACCATCAAGGACACAGATGCTGATTACAATTCAGAGGCAGCGTTTTGACTCGAGGAGTGGGTGAATGATTAGACAACATCTACTACCATCGTCAATACAGACAGCCTAAAGCACTGGGCTAGGGAAAACAGAAAATGTCAACAATTTCACAATGCAGAGCAATAAGGAAGGTCAGCTAAGCTTATGTAGGTTGGATAGCATATAATAGAACTTTAGTAAATAAAAGAAAGACTCATCTCAGCCTGATTAGCACCATAAAAGTATAGTGTTTAGGAACTGGGAAATGGTTAACAAAACTATGCTACTGTTTTTTGTAAAAGGTTGCCACTGTTCAGGAAGACAAAGGCACGCACTCTTGAGTTTGGCTGTCTCATCCAAGTCACTGCTTTTCTTGTAGCCCCCACTGGGCAGGTTACAAACCACAGAATTGCCTCCCTGCCCCAGATCCTGGGTTCACAGGTGGACTCCAGACACCAGCTGAGATCACCTGGGGAGGGAAGCTAGAGGCTTGACAGTGAGCATGGCCTCAGAGTTGTCCTCTGGTCTTCTCTGAACATTGTTCAAGGAAAGATCATGTCTGGAGATACTTCCTCCCCATCCCTGAGATGTTACAGACACCTGTCCAGAAAAACCTGCCAGGTCCTTACCTCCAGACGGTGTGCCAGCAACTCTCCTAAGGAATTTAACCCACTCCTCCATCTCTGCCTGGGAGCTGGCCATGAGGACATGGGAGTCCTGTCCTATGCGACTCTGGTCCAATGAACCTGGAGGAAGAAGTAACAATAATGAAGGTCTCAGAGTGGTAAGGAGCTAGAGCATGGCAAAGCAAAGAGAAGCTGAATCTAAATCGCTTCCTTGGTTCAACTAAACAAGCAATGCCAAACAATGCCAAAGCATTATCTAATCCTCAGTGGCACTGAGTATCTGTGCACTCTTATTGTTTTCGGGGGGAAGCTCTAATTCTATAGACAAACCATTGACCATAATAGTTTGCAATCAGGATGACTTGGGCAGAGAGCTGCTCCCATGGGGGACAGACACTATTTGCTGCCAAAAAGGAAGGGGAAAGGCATGGGGTAGTTTCAGTATTAGAGAAGACAAGATCAGCCCTTACAGATTTGAAGACTTCTGTTCATCATGCCAATCATGGCTACTTTCCTAAGCTAACCTTAAAGTCAGTTGTAGGGGTGGGGAAGGGAACAGCAACTCAGGAGGAAGGGACAATAGATATATGTTTGCCTTTCACAAAATTGGTGCTTCCTGTTCAGGATTACTGGCTGCTCTCCTACCTGTACATTGCTCTCCTGCAAGACATTGCAGATGGTAAGTTCTCAATACATATCTAATGGACAAATGAAGATTGTTAAGACTTGCCCTGGCTGGTGTGGCTCAGTGGATTGAGCACCAGCTTGCGAACCAAAGGGTCAATGGTTCAATTCCCAGTGCAGGGCACATGCTTGGGTTGCAGGCCACGTCCCCGGTAGGGGGCACATGTGATACAACCACACATTGATGTTTCTCTCCCCCTCTTCCTCCCTCCTTTCCCCTCTCTAAAAATAAATAAATAAAATATTTTTTAAAAAAAGATTGTTAAGACTTTTTTTTACCATTTTTACTTTAAACACAAGATTATAAACAGATATATGTAGTGTTTCCTGAACTGGTGTTCTCAAATTGACAAAATCATAGAGAAAATGACAGGGGGTCGGGGGTGGTAGGGGAGAAGACCAACAGAAAGGATGAGAGAAAGTGACAAAAGGGAAAAATAGGGAGGGAGAAGAGAAGAGAGGAAGAAGGAGAGCATCAAATGTAGGTCTTAGGAAAGACAAGAAAATAATAGCAATCCCTTTCAATTACAAGGCACTTTTATCATTTCAAAGTGCCTTTGTAGACATCAATCCATTCTTCTCTCAGTGTCAGACATTTCCCTCAAAGAGAGCCTGTGGTAGCACCACATTTGTGCTCAAACCTGTATTTACTTGCAGGAAAACGAAAGACTTTCAACTTCCCATTGGTTCTGTCCCTTGAACTTCTCTTAATGTCACCAAGCCTCACCTTCTTTTACCCTTTGTAATGACCTAATTTTGAATCTACTTTATCTTGGAGACATCAGCTCTTCTGAGCAGAAGTGTCAGTCCACGGAAGCCCTGGATAATCAGGAATACCTTGAGATCTGGGTGTTTCCGAAAGTAGAACGGGAAGTAAAACATTCTCAGGCCAGAACTAAAACTTTCCATAGAAATCACAATAACCCTTTGCTCTAGTATCATTTCCACTCTACAGATAATGTAACTGAAGCCCAGAAATGCCAAGGCACCTGCTCACTGGTACTCAGCAAGTTACTGCCAAACTCAGGGCAAGGCTACTAGTCTCCTTTCTTCCAAAAGAGTTTCCACTAACCCATTTGACCTTGGTCAAAATTCATATGGCATCCTTCCCCACCACGGGTGCACTTCAATCTCGTCCATTGTTCAGAACATGACTTTTCAGTTTACCCTGTTTCTTGGGGGATCCTTCAGTGTTATCATGGCAACCCCACTGAGAAATATCCAGCTCTCCAGATGTGTCTGAGTAGCCAGGGCTTCCATGGACTCACCTTTCTGGTCAGAAAATCTGATAACCCAATAACAAGATAAATTTAAAATCAGGTCATCCCAAAGGGTGATGCACAGGGATGTTAATACAGGTTCTAGAAACCAGGACTAAAGGGAATTTGAAATCTTTTGTTGCCCTATAAAAAATAATGTTTGGCACATTGAGGTGCCAGGAAGAGCTCTCTTGGGGGAAATTGCCTAACACTAATACAAAGCCCATGAATAGCAACTCTTCCCTCAGGGACATACTTTCTCTAACTTATTTTGTTCAACATGTGTCACATATTGAGCTGTTTTCCTTGTCAGAAAGGAGCCTCCCTTCTTTTCTGTCCCTGCCTAAGGAACTCATCCATTTTTGAAACCTAGCTCAAATGTTGTCTTCTCTAGAGACCCTTTATTAATATCTTCTCCTCTCCAAATTAAGTGGAGAATCCTTATTCTATAAGTTTCTTAACATTTCATGCCTACCTTTCTCACAGCAGTAGCTAAATTATCCTGAACATGTTTCCTTATCATTAATATTAAGGTAATTACTTAGTATGTCTCAAACTAAAACACTGTTCTTCCCCAAAAAACTTGCTACATGCACAAATCTCAGCAAATGCATCCTTTCCGTTGTTTAGGTAAAAACCTTGCAGTCTGCCTTGACTTCTATTCCCTACATCCAATCCATGAGCAAATGAAGTCCCCTCTACCTTCAAAATGTATCCATAAAATGATTATTTTTCACACCTTCACTGTTCCCATCCCTGAGTTGGATAATTGCAATAGCCTCTTCACTGGTCTCTCTTCTCCATATTTGTCCCTTTTTATTCCCAACTCAAAAAAAGTTTTAAAACATAAGTCAGATCATGTCACTTCTTTGCTTAAAACTTCCTAATGGCTTCTCATCTTTATAGAATAAAAACTAAACATTTTACAATTGCCCGCAAGTGCCTGTGAAATCTGCTCACCCCTGACTCAATCTCCTACTCTTCTTTTCTGTCATTATTCCATCCTAACCACACTGGGCTCCTTGATGTTACCTGAACACGTGAAATAGGCTCAGAGACTTTGTACTGACTGTTCCCCTTCTTGTAATGCTCTTCTTCCAGATATGCACTTGGCTCACTTCTTCAGCTCCTGATCTCTCCTCAAAGGTCACCTTCTCAATGACACCTACTCTGCCTGCTCTATTTAAAATGGCAAATCAACAACTGCCACCTTCACCTTGACTGGTACTTTCTCTTTCTTCACTTAATTTTTTTCTATAGTACTATTCCATCATAAAAACTATATAATTTACTCATTTATTTGGTTTTTTGTCAGTCTCCTCCCATGTAGGCTGCACGCAGCCTATTTTATTCTTTGCTGGATTCCCAGTTCCTACAACAGTGCCTGGCTCATAGCAGGTACTCAATATATTTTTTGAATAAATAAATGACATCTAATAAGGCAGCATGAGAATTAAAGGCAACGTATGCAGAAGAAATAACCCCCCATCCCTGGTGACTCCCTGTGAATGGGAGAACAGACAGTTTTTCTGCTAGAGGTAACAGGGAAAGGAAAGCTTGCCCTACATTTTTGCCCGTCCCAAATAAAGAAAAACATAACTACAAGAAAAGTTTTCTCTGTGACCTTACGCAACTAACACTGATGATCACAGAGAGAGGGCCCTGTTTCAGAAGGTCATTTCTTATGCCAGCAATGGCCCCTGAGAATCATCTTGCACAAGAGGATGACAAAAAACAAAACTGAAAGTTCTCTGCATCATGACATAAAGGGTTGTCTCACTTTAGATGGGAAGAGCCTTGGAAAAGATGGCACCTTTAGGCAAATTCTTCCTTGCCTTACTATTGCTTTAGAATTGTTGTTCGTCCTTATGAGACGCTGTGTATGTGTGTGTGCATGTGTGATTCATCTAAGAATTTCCCCAGCAGCCCAGAAGACATTTGCAGGTGTGAGTGATAACGAGAGAACAAATCTTCATTTTACCCTAGCACGGCAGTTTATGAGGGTGCTGGACTTGTGGTGCACAGACTGTGGTGAATTTGCAGCTGGGGCTTTCAGTAGGGCTACCACAGATTGAAAGTTTAGGCTTTGGGATATGTGTTAACCATGGATGGTTGCACCGCATGAACTGTGCCGGGGAAGTGATGCTAGGAATGGAAGACACCATAGGGTGAGTTTTCCTGGAGAGGAGAGACTGAAAAAGTAAGCACATCCTCTGAGGAGGAGGAGAGATGGATAGACCTTCAGATAAGAAAATGAGTGTGCCTATGAGGGAGCTTCCAGGGAAGAGTTGCACTTTAAAAACAAATGTTTTTCTCTGTTTTCAACAAAGAGTCATAGCCAATTTTAGGATTGGCTTCTACATTATAATTTCCTCTAGTTCTTCCCAAAATAATAAATGCTTATATGGCACTAACTGTATACCAGACACTATACTAAGTGTTTCATATATATTTCTTTATTTAATCCTTACTATTGTCATCATTGTCTCCATTTTACAGAATAAGACACAGAAGCAGGGAGAAATTACGTAACTCAGTTAGAGTTACACAATTAGTAAGTGGCAGGGCCAGGTTTTGAACATGGGCAGGATGGCTCCAGACTGGGCATGGCTAACCTCTCCGCTATTCGGCCCTCTCCATCATATTTCATGTGCACATAGCTGCCGTGCGTGAGTGGTAGGGAGGAAGTTAAGGGGAGGGGCGTTGGGGGTGGCCTCCCCTGTCGTGTCAGCAGGGTGGCAGCAGTCTGGCTGCACAGCTGGAGCCACAGTTCTGAGGTTCCTGGTGGGGCTGGGATGGCAACTGAGCGAGAGACAGGGAAAAGCAGCCTCAGTGTGACAGTCACACAAATACAAACTCCCTTGAGACAAATTCCCCTTGCCCCCTACGCATTCCAGGAAGTAAAGTAACTCTTGATTGGTGGAAGCACCCTCCAGGGTGCTGCTAACATGTGAATTACAGCACCTGCCACGTGCTAAGTGCCCCTGTAAGTCGGCTCTGTCGCTTCTTATTAGGTCACATTGAACTATAGGACACTGTTGACTGTGGACCACTGTTCCACCTACCAAAATGGCAATTTCACATGGTTCAATTTATAGTTTAACTATTAATTGTAATGTCCTATTCACCTCCTAGACTTAACTTGTTTTAGTGAACAGGAGGGATGTACTTTTCACATCAGTGTCCCACTGCCTAGTGGAACACCTGGCTCCAAGTCCACACTCATGAAATGCATACAGAGTTGAACCGAACACACACCCACATAGTTCGCTTGCTAGTTAATGAACAAGTATGGGTCTGTTGACTATATACAGAACTACTATGCATTCTTATTAGGTTGGTAGGTGAGTTGTTGACAGACTCACTGAATATATCTCACTTCCAGGATCCAGAAGAAAATGGGAATGTAGTGAAATGTAGTACACCTCTGTCCCACCTTTCCTTGCTTACCTGGAATGATTTCAAAGACAAACTTCCCTGCTTCTTCTGGGTTGGTGGCAATCTCCCTGATCGTACTCCCTGGTAGATACATACAACCCTGAAAGATCAAAAGTCAGGACTTTAAGATGAGCAGCAACTTTATCATCTATTAGATAACATTAAGTTGAAAGACAGGTAGAGGGATAGAGAAGAATATGGAAAACTAACTTTGACTGGGGCCCTTCTGCTATTTAGGCCTTGGTCTAATTAAGTGGTAGATCTCTGAGAGCAAGCAAGGTGTCTAGAGAGAAAAGAACAAGGTCCTGACAAGAGAATGAGCTGAGGGGGAATCATTACCAACACTTGTCTCTTCCCATTTTTCCCAGGACCCAACTTTCTGGCCAAATCAGACACCAGGTCTGTGTGAAGGCAATGCTGAGACTGGGTGGACCATATATACTGCCTTGAGAACTGAACTACAGTTAGCCATTCAAAGGGGTGGAGTCTCCCCCCTTGCTAAGCACCTTGAATATATTATTCCTTTAGTCCTTCCAGCAATCCTCCAAGCGAGGTATTATTATGCCCACTTGCAAGTCAGAAAACAGGGGATCAGAAAGATTCTGTAATTTTTCCAATGTCATCGAGCCAGTAAGTGGCAGAATAGTAAATCATCTCAAGAGTGAATTCAAAGCCTCTTATACATGAATGTGTTATTAGAAAAACAAGTCACTTCCACCACGTGCATGCCCAGTGCTTTACCCTTCACGGTGCACTGTCACATGCCTGTCTCATCAGATCCCCACAACGGCTCAGTATCAGCAAGATTTGCCACTTTTACTTTACAGATGAGAAACCAACACTTTGAAAGTCTAAGTGACGGCACAAATGGACATAGTTCATATGTACTAGAGTTACTGACTCATAATTTATGTCACACTAGCATGTCTGATTCTGAGCTAAGTAGACATGCATATCTCTATTGTAGAAAAAAGTGTGGGTGTAGAGGACTGGCCATGAAGAAGCTATGAAGGCAAGAGTGTTAAGAAACTCTCAGATCAGCTCAGGAGCTTGAAAGAATAAATGTTTCTTGAGCGTCTAGAAATAAAAATGCCTGAGACAGAGTGAGAAAGTAGAAGAAAAAAAAGAAGGAGGGGAAGAGGGAAGAGGAGAAGAAAAGTGAGGAAGAATAAAAGGGAAGGAAGAGGTGGAGAGGGAGGGGGAAGGAGGCGAAGAAAAAGGAAAAAAATAGTCTGTAAAAGGGAATTCTGCATTTTTTTTTTTACACTTCTCTAATTTTGTTACTCAGAAATAACCTCCACTTCCATGGTCCTCACAATCTTTAAATATCAATGACCTCAGAAAAAAATTACCCTGAGGTTGTGCTGTGGGGCTACTTTTCATGAGTTATGGCACCAAAATAAAAGGCTGTGTTATCTTTAGATAGAAAGGAGCACTGCCTGAGAGGAAGGGGGAAAAAAGATGTACCTGCCTCTCCTAAGTGCCTCTCTAAACTATTACTTGATACCCCAAACCATTTCATCCAAAAATAATAAAAATAAAATATCAAATATATAAATACCATTTATTGAGCAATTACTATGCTCTGTGTTAAATGCCCTGAATATATTATCACTTCTATCTTCAGAAGAACTCTTTGAGGGATGACTGATATTTTCCTCATTGAAGAGATGAAAAGGTAAGGCTCTGAGAGGTTAGTTAGTAATCACAAAGATCACAAAGCTAATTAATAAGAAAACTATAATTTAAATCTTGATCAGTGGGATTTCAGAATTACAAGGCTTTATTTACAGATCCCACTTTTTTGCTGAAGGAAGTACTGATCAGAGTTAAACTAAATCACACCAAGGCATAAGTGACAAATTACAAGACATTTCCCCATATTGAGCACCATGGCCTTGAACAAGAGAGAGGAAGAGCAGGAAATAGTAAAAAACATTAGTAGGGGTGGGGGCAGGTGGGGTGGGGACAGTTATAAGGAAGAAGTATTATCTGGGAAAAGGAAGGACCTAAGTTGCTCATGGCCACTTTCGCCTACTTAGCAAGTTGATCAGGGTAGACTTTGTATAAAGATGGAAGGAGGGAGAGGTGTATCCTGGAGGCCACAATCCCTACAGTAATGATGCCGAAGAGAGAAGTGTGTGGGTGGTATGCCAGAACTCGCTTATATTGGCTTAGAACTGTTACATTTTCAGGAACTCTGTGAACCAAATGTTAAACACAGCCATTACTAAAAGTTAAATTATATAAACTTACAATGAAATATTTTATATTAAAAATAAAGGTAATACAAAATCAAGATGGTGGAGGAGTGAATGGAAGGTCACACTGACCCCTCGGGACCAATCTGGAATTACAACTAAATTGTGGAGAAATCACCTGGAACAAACAACTGAACAATAGCAAGAGAGGAGTCTTATAACCTTGGACAGACAGAAGAATCAGCATTAGCACAACCTAACTGCCACTTACCCTGGTCTCCGGCAAAGGTGGGGACAGAGGTGGGTAGAGACCTGAGGAGAGACTGGGGAAAGAGGCTTTGGAAAGAGAACTGAGAGAGTAGCTTGTGAGATCCTAGTGCTGACTCATCCCCCATACGGCATCAGCCACCTTGCTCAGGCAGACCACTCCCCTGAGCGCCAGCAATGTGAGAGGACACAATAGTCCCACCCCTACAAGACTCTGCCCTGGTCTGGTGGTGCACAAGCAGGACTGCTGAGTACAGAGTGGCAGCCACAGATAGTAGATTGCTGGCTAAAGGGGCACAGAGTGGTCTAGGGACACTTGAGGAGAGATTGGGGATGAAGGCTTTGGGGAGAGAACAAAAGGAGTATCTGGCAGGATCCCAATGCTGACTCCTCCTCCACATGGCAGCAGCCATCTGGCTCAGGCAGACAAATCTCTTGAGTGGCAGCAGCGTGAAAGGACGCAATAACCCTGCCCTCAGGAGGGACTCTGCCTCACCCTGTGGTGCCTAAGCCTGACTGCTGAGTGCAGAGTGACTAGATTAACAGCTGAAGGAGACAGCCAACAACAGTAGATTCCTGGAAGTCTCAAACAGACTGCCTAAGGTCAGACAGGGTCAACACCTGACATCATCAGAGGCAGATCCAGAGAGAAAAAACAGTGGTCTCCTTCCATAGAAGGTCACACCACAAAGTCAGGAAATCAAGACAGATCAATTTAAGAAGCAGAAGCAAAAAAGAAGTCTCACAAATCATGGGAAGACAAAAAAATACCACCCTCCAATCAAAGGGAAAGGAGGAATCTCCAGAAAGAGAACTAAATGAAATAGAGGCAAGTAAACTATCAGATATTGAGTTCAAACAATGATTCTAAGGAAGCTCAATGAGCTCAGTGAGCTCAGAGAGAATTATCAAAAACTACAGGGAAACTATGAGGAACCTACTACAAACTGGATCAGCATGAAAAAGGACATAGAAACTATCAATTAGAGACAGGAGGAAATGCAGAATACAATTTATGAATTGAAGAACACAGTAGAAGGAATCAAAAGCAGGCTAGATGAAGCTGAGGACCAAATCAGTGAGCTGGAGGACAAGGTAGTAAAAAGCTCCCAGAAAGAGCAAGAAAAAGAAAAAAGACTCAAAAAGAATGAAGAGGCATTGAGGGAAATGCAGGACAACCTGAAACGTAATCGTATCCATGTAACAGGGATATCAAAAAGCGAAGAGGAGCAAGGGATAGAGAATCTGTGTGAAAAACTAATTATGGAAAACTTCCTTAATTGGAGGAGAGAAAAAGTCACAGAAGTCCAGGATGCACAGAAGGTCCCATTCAAGAGGAACCCAATGAGGACTACTCTAAGACACATCATCATTAAAATGGCAAATATCAAAGATAAACAGAGAACCCTAAAGGCAGCAAGGGAGAAACAGGTAGTAGCATACAAGGGAGCCCCGACATGGCTAGCGGCTAGCTTCTCAACAGAAGCACTACAGGTAAGAAGGGAATGGCAAGAAATATCCCAAGTAATGAAAAGCAAAGGCCTGCAACCAAGACTGCTCTACCCAGCAAGGCTCTCAAAACAAAAGGCGAAATAGGGAGTTTCCCAGATTTTAAAAAAAAGCTAAAAGAATACACCTCCACCAAACCAGCATTGCAAGATATGCTAAAGGGACTGCTTTAAGAAGATGAAGAAAAAGAGTGTTTGAATACCCAGTTCCTTTTGCAGTCACCAATACTTGATATTACCAATATTTTTAATACTTATTAATCTGATTGTGACAATGATGTGTTATTTTAACTGTTACTTTATTGTTTGTTGAAACTAAACCTATTTTTGTATATTTCTTGCCTATTTCTATTGTTTTTAAAAGCTTTAAATGACTTTTTGGTATTCTTTATCTGTTTTTTGACTAAAGGTTTGTTGAATTTTTTTCCCTAAAAAAACAAAACAAAACTATTAACTCTTTTTTAGATCTGTTGCAAATACTTTCTTATTTACTATTAGGAAATACTATTCTATTACTTGTCCTTTAACTTTTTCATATGTATATTACTGTACAGTCTTAAATGTTTAATATAGTCATATTCTCAATATTTTACTTTATAGTTTCTGGGTTTGAATATTTTACTTCAGGGTAAGAAAAATATTATTTTATATTTTCTCTTAAAACTCTTTAGATTTTACATATTGATTTTTAGCTCACCGGAAATTTTTTGTACAATGGGTGAAATATAGGGCTCTATATTTGTTTTATTTGATGTAATAGTTAGTCTCTGCACTTCATTTGTTGAATACATTTTATTTTCCCCCATTGATTTAAAATATCAATTTAATCATATATTACATTGTTATACAGATATATACATTTGTTTCTAGAATGCTCATTTTATTTCATTGATCTACTTGATTATTTCTGTACTGGTGTCATGTTGTTTTAATTGCTGAGACTTTATAATGGATTTACATTTTTTAATATTTTATAATGGATTTTGACATTTAAAAAAATAAATAAAATCAATCTGCATTTTAAAAAAAAAAAAAGAAAGAAGGAATGATGGAACTGGAGAATGTTTTGCTAAGTGAAATAAGCCCGATAGTGAAAGTCAAATACCATATGATCTCACCTATAA